AAAAAAATGTCCACGTGCCAGTAAAACTCTAAACCACTGACTTGGTGCTGTTAGGGTGGACACTTCATTATTAATAGCATCTATATGATCATAACATCTTGTTTACATCAGCGCTCAGGGTGACATTCAGAATGTCGATCTGCTCGCTTTTCTTCATTGCAGCAATGCCACACCCTTAAAGGGATTACAGACAGACTCACTCACTGATACACTAGCACACTTAAACACGCAGATGCACAAAAACACACATGAACACACAGCAGATCTACCTCATCCATGAGATATAACACCATCGGAACTCTTTTTGCCTTCTACTAATGAGAGAAAGCCCCCCCGTCCCCAAGAACACAGAGTAAAAGAGCTAATACCTTATTTTAGATTCATGTATATCTTATTTTATGACATTATTGTACTTTTTGACAGTTGTATGCTGTTAAACTTTTAAACACTCTACTAAATCGGATGTGAATTGCTAAATTCTTGTTTCACTCGGTGGGCTTTGAATTGAATTGTTTTTGTCAGCCACATTAAAGGAACTGACGTTTGTATCAGAGTGTGACTTTAGTCACAACAGATGCGTTGCCTCGTGTGCTTTACAGTTCTCCAACAGGGTTGTATAACGCCTGGGTTCAGGAGTGGGGGTTTTGCTAGTTAGTTGTATTGCATTTAAACCTTGCGCGTGTGCATAATAGTCTAATTTGTCTTATTCTCCAGGCTTGTGGTATCATCGTTGAGCTGATCCGCTCAAAAAAGATGGCAGGGAGGGCCGTTTTACTGGCAGGGCCACCTGGAACAGGAAAGGTAAGTGTGCGGTGTTCAGCAGTAAGGTTTAATTTAATATAGCAGATATCTCTGCAGCGTTTGTTAACCATGCCTCTTTATTTCTTCCTGCCTGCGCACCTTCAGACTGCCCTCGCCCTGGCTATGGCACAGGAGCTGGGAAACAAGGTACCATTCTGCCCCATGGTCGGCAGTGAGGTCTACTCATCAGAAATCAAGAAGACAGAAGTATTGATGGAGAATTTCAGGAGGGCGATTGGTAAGTGTTGGATAGATTTTTAACCCAGATTTTAGTTTTCTGTTCTCCAGGTTTACTCGATGGGTTGTGACCTGTTGGGCATTTAGTTTGTAGAAGTGAAAATGAGCTTACTATTACCAAAGGCTTAATTGGTAAGAAAATAAGAAACTGGCCTAATGATTTAATTAGATTTAATATTGATATACACCTAAAGCATTTTGTCTTTTTAAAAATAATATTTTTATGCGTGTCTTCTATTGTACTGGTGGGAAAAGATCAGGTCATACTAGCAGTGAGAAAGAAACTCTTGCACACACAGTTGTCATGAGCTGAAAGGTAACACTGTAAAGCAGATTTATAAAGGTGGTGAGAAGGAATAGCAGAAAGGGGATCTGAGACTGCTGATGCTACCTGTTGAGTGGGCAGCAAATGGAGCCAAGGTGGAGGGAGACGTGGTCATTAGCACATTCACTCCACCCCTTGAGCAGATTCTTCAGAGAGACCAGGTTTCATTTGAACGTTGTCATCACCTTGTCACTAACAGCACCCTGATGGACAGTCCCCGCCTTTAGAGCTGCTCTGTGCCCCACAGCACCGAGGATTAGACACCTGTGTGCTGCATGTAACAGGAACAAGAGCATGATCGTGTTACACTGAACAATGTCCAGTCATTTCACAGGACACATGTTTCTTTTCTGTAATAAAATACGTTGCTCGGTGATCCAATGGATGCTGCGGCTTAGCTCATGTAGGAATATAAAGACCAGATTAGGTTGTGCATAAGATTGTATGTGTGTAAATGTGTAACTGTAATGCTGCGCCATATTCAGGATTGCGCATCAAAGAAACAAAGGAGGTGTATGAAGGGGAGGTGACAGAGCTGACCCCATGCGAGACCGAGAATCCCATGGGCGGCTACGGCAAAACCATCAGCCACGTCATCATCGGTCTGAAGACTGCCAAAGGCACAAAGCAGCTCAAGGTCAGACTGAGAGTTTTAATCTTTCTTAGTTTGTGTTTGTAGTTTTCCTTCTGTTGGAAACTCAGTTATGTTGTGTGAACAAGCCATATAGTAATGCAAATAAGGACCAATGTTAAAGCACCAACAGTTACATATTATCAATATGTTAATGACTTCTGTTCAAATTTAGCTTTCAGTTGTTTTTATTTTCTAACTGTGATTTATAGTTTTAGTAAACAGGTTAATGCTGCTGAGGGAAATTAGATTTCAAGTATAGTCTGATGTAATAATGCTAATGGCAGGGTGCAGGTTTAGCTCAGTGTATGGCTGAGAGCTGCCGGCCCGGGCTTGAGTCCGATATCTTTCCCCTCAGCTTTCCTGTTCTTTCTTCACTGTGTCTGTCAATAAAGCTGAAAAAGGCCAAAAAAAAAAAAAACCCTATAATGCTGACAGCCAAAGCTAGGCCAGCGTTTTGCTTTAAAACATTTAAAGTTGTTGTGTTTCCTTAGCTGGATCCCAGTATTTACGAGAGTCTTCAGAAAGAGCGTGTGGAGGTGGGAGACGTCATCTACATTGAAGCTAACAGCGGAGCCGTGAAGGTAAACTATTTTACTTTTATGCTTTTATGTTACATTTGCAGCACATTTTGGTTTTTGGCAAAAGTGAGAAACTGATCATGGCTGATTGTTCATTTACCAGATTGTGTATAGTTTACAGATGAAAAATGTTTTTTCCAAAAAACGTCTTAGTCGGGTCAAAGTTGATGGTTTTTCCATCTTGCTTGTCCTCTTCAACCCTTCATGGTGGCATGCTTTCATCTCTCTCCACCCTGCTGCATTTGTGTTGTACTCTGGAATGAGCCTCTCATTCCTGCGGCTCTTCATGTTCCATTTATCTCTCCATCTCCCACAGTGCCTCTTTACCAACAGTGGGGCTTGCGGCCTGTGCTGAAAGGCTGCAGGAGCGGTTCTTTTAATCAGTGCAGGTGGGCCAGAAGCACAGGTCGGCTCTAGTCAGAGGGTAAAGGAGGAGGGCTGGGCGACACATTTGTTACTGTTGACAGCCACCTCATGACTTTCCTTCTGAACCTCTTTCATCCTTCAGCCACATGCCCTTGTTCCTGCAGTGGGCTGGCACTGAGTTCAGTCATACATCTGCTCTCCCTCCTGCAGTGTGGTACCTTTCCCTTCATTGTTGACTGCAGCAATGTGAGACATTAATCTTTTCTATTACTGTGCCTTTGCAGAGACAAGGCCGCTGTGACACCTTTGCAACAGAGTTTGACCTGGAGGCAGAAGAGTATGTTCCGCTGCCCAAAGGTGATGTCCACAAAAAGAAGGAGATTGTCCAAGATGTCACACTGCATGACCTGGATGTTGCAAATGCTCGCCCCCAGGTACATAACTGCAATAATAAAGTAGCATCGGTTTGGAATAAACACATCTGTATACATCCTAAAGTTGATTGTTTTTATATTGGCACTCTTTATAAACGGTTCATTGTTTCATCTCAGGGAGGCCAGGACATTCTCTCCATGATGGGACAACTGATGAAGCCCAAAAAGACAGAAATCACTGGTAGAGACGGTGTAACAGCTAACTCAGACTAAATCTCTCAAGTTGTCTTCAGTTCTTGACCCACTGCCAATTTCTCGCTGCAGATAAATTGCGTGCTGAGATCAACAAGGTGGTGAACCGCTACATAGACCAAGGTATAGCTGAGCTCGTACCCGGCGTGCTGTTCGTGGATGAGGTGCACATGCTGGACATTGAATGCTTCACGTACCTCCATCGAGCACTGGAAAGCAGCATCGCCCCCATTGTCGTATTCGCTTCTAACAGGGGAAACTGTTTAATCAGGTGAGAAGTGCTTTATGGAGAGAAGCACATTTTGTTTTTGTTTATTTTTAAGGTAAAACAAAACAGTTTCAGGATTTAAGTAGTTTTTGTTGACCAGGGGGACAGAGGACATCAGTTCTCCACACGGCATTCCTCTGGACTTGCTGGACAGAGTCATGATCATTCGCACCATGTTGTACACACCACAGGAGATGAAGCAGGTAAGTCTGAAAATCAATTTCTGTGGATTATGTGATGTGCGACATCAAACTGTCTGTGCATGCGTCACTAACGAGGCTGTGGTCTGCAGATCATCAAGATTCGGGCTCAGACCGAAGGAATCAGCATCAGCGAGGAGGCTCTTACACACCTGGCAGAGATTGGCACCAAGACCACCCTCAGGTACGGCCAAACACTCTGGGTGTGGGTGTGTTATAATGAAATGCCTCAACTCAGTTACGGTTTGCTCAACAAAATCTTTCTATTTTTGACGTACCGTAATAAATTTGTTTAGCCATAACTGTTGCCAGATGCTTAAAAAAAAAACTTTGTTCAAAGGGATTAGAATAGCTCAGCTACGTCACTGAGACCAACATGTATAAAGTTACAGATAAAAGACTGTATACTGTAGTAAAGCTCTTGTAGAATTTGCACCCATTAAACTATCTTCTGCTATAAACAGGTTTACTATAAATATGTGTGTGTGGGTGTACTGAGTCTTTCCTATTTCCTGTTTTGTCTCAGATACGCTGTACAGCTGCTGACGCCAGCAAGTCTGTTGGGCCGCGTTCAGGGAAAAGAAACAGTGGAGAGGGAGCAGGTAGAAGAGATCAATGAGCTGTTCTATGACGCCAAGTCTTCAGCAAAAATCCTCCAAGATCAGGATCACAAGTTTATGAAATAAAACTTGTGATCATTGTATTTGTCCATCCTAGTTTCACTCTAACGTTCATTGCATTTTATCATCTTTGCCCTTCACTGTAACTCACTCCGGTGTCCCTGCCTCTGCTTTCTGTAGTAGTTTTGTTCAGATGAATTTTTATTTGTTCCATTTGTCAATGGAAAGTTTTGAAATAAAAAAAGGAAAAATTTTCTTAGTTTTGCCTCTTATTTTTGGATTTTAGTAGTAAAGTTTACAAGCATCTCACTGTAATAACAGACAGGCAAGAAGAGACAATTTGCATCATTTCAAGAGATTTTATTGCAAAGTAATTTCGTAATCGTTGCTGAATAAATCTGTCTTTCTGTTCATTATTATTATTGTTATTAAGGTTTTTCTGAAGTGTACTGCATACACTACTTTATACTCCCACTCTGAAACTTCCGGTGTAACAAAAAGTCGTATCAGACAGATCAACAAATATGTTTTAAACACTGAAACTGAGTTCATCAGTTAGGCACCTTTCTTAAAATTCAAGGAACTATCAATATAAATCTAGTGTAAAATTTTGTCATAACGAAATACAGAAAAAATGGGCTTTAAACAAGATTTTCCTCAGGTTGAAGTAAGACAAGAAAACAGCTGATCCAAACACATGAACATGGAGCAGGTGTGATTCAGCCACGGTCAGGTTTTCTCCTATTTCCTGATTGGCTGGCCTGAGCGAGTGTTGAAAGCAGTCTCTGCTCCTGACCTCGCTCTGCTGAACACAGAGGGTGCAACTTTACCCATTTTCTCTGTGAAGAACAGGAAACAGCAGTAGGATATCTCACTGTAAATGCAGCAGTAAAGAGGATTATGTAAGACAAATATTTGCTCTGTAAGTACATGGTGTCCCGCTCCGTGTCAGAGGGAACACTGTGACAGGAATCTCCCATCATTACAACCCCTTTCATTTTTTTCTTCTTCTCTGTATATGGAATGGAAACTTGAGCATCATGAGAAACGCCCCTCGCATTTACTCACGGCTGCAGTGTGGTCTTAGCTTAACCAAATACAGAAAGCAGAATAGTTTCATTCGCTCTCATCTGCTGGTTTAGTGTCCTTACCGCACTCCTCCATTACTTCCATTGTCTTGCTCTTGGGAGGCCCGGCAGCACCCAGCTTGTTCTTTGCTTCATTCAGGTCTTCTTCTCTCACTTCAGGACGCTGCATTTGCTCATCTTCCTGATTAGGCTGAAAGGCAGTAAAGGGAAAGTAAAACACAGAGGTTACTGACAGTCCCCGTGTCTGCAACAATTATGCCCTGCTTTGAAAGCTCAAACACTGCTCTTACTTGAGACATGATTGTTGAGTAGCTGAAGATGGCCTGGAATAAATTCTCTTTCTTTCAGCGGGCTCTCTTTCTCCAACAGGCCGAACCCAACACACACTCTCATATATATACACAACCTAACAGTGAGTCAGTCTCCAGTGGGCAATAACTCTGTTCCTAACACATAAAAAATGACGTAATGAGGGAACTGACTCCTCCTCTTGATCTCTCCCTCCTATTTTTCTCAGGGTCTGCTTCTTCCTTAGAAAATGAAACACTTCTACAACTTGTGGCATTACTTTTTGTCGAATAAATCGGAGGTGTAGGAATCTTGCAAGCGTGGTTGGGCAGCTGCTTTCTAACAGCGCTGACAATAAACAAACCATGCAAATTAAACTCAAAGTTTATAAGATGTGAATCAAGAGATAAGTACTTGATTTTCTTAAGAGGAGACTTAATTTTTCCTGCTGTAAAAGAATGTCACCCCACCCACACACCCATCCATCCATCTTTGTGAAAAAATTGCTGGGCTGATGGGATAGGTTCATTTTCCATAATTACATCATTATTCAACCCCACGGAGACCCCAAATTCAGTGGAAATTAGTTTAGGGGCAAGAAAAGCAACTAAATGGCTGTCTTATCAGACAGGGAAACAATTACAAAGTAGCTGAGTTGACTCAAACTTTTCTTTCTAAAAAAAGGAAAAAAAATACTAGTGCAAATCAAGGCTCAAGAACGTAACTACTTCTCACAATATAAACAAAATGTTTGGTCAAGGTAAGGTAGCAGAAGTCAAGCATTTCATTTCATTTTAGTAAACATGTTGTACTGCTTCTTAAATACAACTCTACTCCAATCAGTCAACACTGAGAGCGCCTGCCTTAGTTTGTGCACAACTGTTTCACCAAAACAGCTACAGAGGTAGGTGAGCAACACATAAACGTAGTATTTAAAACCAAACTTTTTTTCCATTTAATTCCTGGAAAAACACCACAGATATAAATACAGTGTTCATGGTCATTGTGTAAAACAATAAAGAGTTTTATTAAAATACATCCACTTTTTTTAAACCCACAACTAAATTCATTCATTTTTTTTTTATATAAAACTCACAGATTCACACACGCTCATGACACATGTGAGGTCCTTAGAAAGAAAAGGTTGTTCCCCGGCTCAGTTTGTAGCGGAAACGCACGACTTCTTTGAGTCAGGTGTAACAGTTTTACGTCTAATTTAAGTGCGCTTCTTTCTGAATCGAGGCAGCAGCTGAGTGCTCACAAACTGAACAAGCTTAGTCTCTGTGAGAAGAACAGCTACAACCACACCAAGCAGACATATTGCCCCCACGCCGATATGGACGAGCCTCTGAAGCAAGCCGCTGTCGCAGCAGAAAAAAGCCTGGAGACAAGAAAACAGATGCTCCAGTTAGGATCACAGACTTCTACAGAATAAAAATAATAATAAGTACGTTTACTAAAAGCGCAGCTTAAAAGTTCCTGTTTTGAGAAAAAAACAAACCTCAGAAACTGCTGTGACAACTCCACTGACGCCCAACGCCAGCAGTATGAGAGGGGAGGGCAACAGGCCTCGCAGAGGTTTCCACCGACTCAACTGGAAGTACCGGTGTATGTAAAGCAGGCTGTGTAAGATACGGAGGCCCATATTGAGGCAGTTTGCCAGTATGAAGCCAACACTGCCAGCCCAACTTGTCAGTACGTATGACAGGAAGAGGAAGGAGACAGACAGGGCTAGCATGATGAAGTTGTACCTGAGGACATAAACTCAGTGTTAAATGACAGTTTACACGCTATAAAATAACTGTGTGTCTATGTACATATATATGTGTTTCTGCATTCTCACTTGTCAACCTCTTCTTGGCTCATGACAGCAAAAACAAAACACTCTGTTACACCATTCACAGCAAGCAGGAGGACATAGCAGCTGTAGCATTGCAGCAAACTGGGCCCTAAAAAATAAAGAAACACATTTTACAAATTCCCAGCAAAGCAAAATGTCATATACTGGTGTCTCCTGTCACCGGATTCTAGCTCACATACCTGACCCACTACTAAGGAGAGAGCCACCATAAATATCCAGAGCCAGGTGAGAGTATGCATAACCAAACACTGTGATAATCAGACCAATCACCAGCACCAGTTTCAGCAGGCACTCCAGGACCTCTGCGACAATGGCAACTTCGTCCTATAACAAAAACCAGCAAAAAGAGGTCAAATCAACAATTCCAGCATAGCCACTCACAAACATTTGTTTGAGATAACGTCCACAGTTCAGACCTGTTTCTGACTTTTGACATTGCGCCCTCTCTCCAGCACTTTGGCAAAGAATATGTAGAAGCTTTCTTCAATTGGCAAGAAGATGAAGCGCGCCACCATGGAGCCCAGATTATTGACGATATCATAAACACCCTGATCTCCAAAGCTGAGGACGTTCAAAAAGGTCATGACGTATCGCTCACCCTCGGTCAGGATCTGCTTCAGGAAGGATTGCTTGAAGAAGCTCCAAGTGAGCCGCGCTAGATTCCTGTCGACTAACGGCTTTAAACACAGAAAAAGGTTAAGAATGTCCCCCGTGAATAGTAACCAAAATATAATTAACAATCACAAATAATCAGATTTTTACAACATTTTCTGCTTGACTGTCTCTAATTTACCTAAAACATTATAGCACAAAGCTTGGATATAAATTTTTAGCTTTATATGCTAAATGCTTTTCTAGATTTTTTAATGGCCTATCCACCCACTTTCAGGCCGTTGTTTCCCTGAGGCATCTGAGGCAGTGTAACCCAAACCTAACCTTAACGCCAGAACTTCCACAGGCAAGCAGGGATCAGATAATCATCATGCTGACTGCTGCAACGAAGGCTGCTGTCTATGATATTGTAATATACATGAACATGATACATTGTTGCATTTATTTTAAACCTAATCTGAATGATTTGATTCCTTCAGGGCAGAGTGCATGCCTTAAAAGTGGGTCTCAAAAATGTAAACTTTGCACAAAATAGAGTTTTCTTCTATTCAGGTTAGACTGTCTGCTATTGTTTTTGTGGTACAAATTGTCATATTTGCTCTACCAGCATGAAAGTTGAATGGTAATGCCATTTTCTTAATTTTTGCGACTAGGAATTTCATAAATCAGATAGATCGATAGATAGATCGATAGATCGATAGATCGATAGATCGAGAGAGAGAGAGAGAGAGAGAGAGAATGATTTGATCTTCAGTGCGAATATTTCACAGCAATCATCACATACATCCAAACTTTGTACCATAAATTTAGCATGCAAATTTGGAGATGGTCGAGCAGAAGGCACACAGTGATTTCAGATGCAATGACTCAGTGTGACTTTGATGGGATCAGTGATGAGTAATGCATAATGACGTGCAAGGTCAAGTACCTCTCCATACTGTCTGCGGGGCAGCAAATCTCTAACACGGCGCAGTGGGAAACTATTCCTCGCTGCCTCTTTGGAACCCAGGAAATGAATGAAGTAAACAGCATAGCATAGCACCAGGATCCCTGTGTACACCAACTAGAAAAAGTGAACACAGCACAAAGTCGTGAAAAGTTCAAACAAATATCTGCAGAAATAAAGCAGCTGATACTTCAGCTGATTTCTTACATGAGCAGCAGAAAAGATGTAAAGGCCCCATTCACGGGAAAACACCACCAGCACCACAGTTATGCTGCACTTTGCGATCATTGCCAAGCTTTCAGCCACCACTTTCAATCGGATAAACATGTGAGCTTGAGCCAAGACCCACAAGGGTTCCGCCAGGAGCTCCTGCACCCCAGATAAGGCAAACAGCACCACAGCAGGACTGTAGTAAGGGACAGTGTGAGCATCTGGGACCTCTAGGAGCCAAAGCCACACATATGACAGAAGTACTGCCCATAACACACCAAGGGGTACCCTGAAAAATTAGAAATAACATGTGAGCATCAAAAACTGAAAATCAGAATGCCTATTTTATCATCTAATCAACTCACGTCATCCATAGGAGATTGATAACTGGTCTCCAGCTGTGGTTTTTGCCCGATTGCCCGCTCAGACAGGCCCTCCGGAAAGCCTCTCTGGACAGAAACACTAATGTGGAATACAGCAGTGTAAGCCTGCATAATAAAGACACAGGTAAGGACACATGTTATAGCGGCTGGAGCCCGAAAACCATTGTGTTGTTTTCCTGCAAACTTTACCTGACATTGACCACCCCAATCAGCTCTTTGGACACAAACCGCAGCGTAAAGGCATTCAGAAGAAAGGTGAGCACACGGAACATTACCTGAGGACATAAAACCGGACAAATAAATGAATAAATAAATAAAACAAAATGCTGCAAATGCTCAACACACATCAACTACCGTGTTTGTTTACCTGTAGCAACACATTATAGGACGCTAGAGTGGACACACTCTGCAGTATGTCCTGAGAGCTCATTTTGATCTTCCTTTGGCTCTGTGAAAACTGTAGTCAGGTGTGGAGTATACCAGGTGTCCGCTGCTTTCTACGAAGAAGAATCATAATGCTGCCATAGTGTGGGAACTCTTATCTCGACCGCATTACAAACCGGCGGCACCAGACATTATTCCAGTAGAGCAACTATGAGCTGTCAGTTGTGCCCGGCAGTTAAAGCTGTGGATCGTACACCAATACTTCCGTAGACATTTTACGCAAGCGCATTACGTAGTGACGTCACGCAACGTTGCTTTCACCCTAGTGCCACTAGATAGCGTCATAATGCTTAGGAAAAATCTATAGATGAAATCAAAAATTAATGCTCGGGAATTTATTATGTACTACAGGTCCACGTGGACCACGTGTTTCTGAAAAATGCATTACTGGTTAATATCTCCAAATTCGACTTTCTGACTCAAACCTTGGTTGTTGATGTTTTAGTGGCAGAAACAAGCATCCATAGGGTCTCAATATATTCGCTATATAAACACATATATGCATTTCTGATAAAAATAATAATAATAATAATAATAAGTTACGGGAAAATGTGTCTAATATTTCCTGTCCAAATAAAAAGATTAACAAATAGAAAAATAAATATTTTGTCGACTGATACTGATTCTTGTTTTGGTTTGTTTATGAATCAAATTTAATCAAAGGATAATGGGTTGTTGATCAGATCCAAAAC